TTGCCCTTCTCCTCCTCCTTCCTCCTCGCCCTCCACCTCCTTCCTCCTCGCCCGCCTCCTTTCTCCTCGCCCTCCTCCTTCCTCCTCGCCCTCCTCCTCCTTACTCTTCGCCCTCCTCCTCCTTCGTCCTCGCCTTCTTCCTCGCTCTTATCCCTCTTCCTCCTCCTTCCTCCTTCTTCCTCCTCCTCGCCCTCGTCCTTCCTCCTCGCCCTCCTATTCCTTCCTTCTCGCCCTCCTCCTCGCTCTCCTCCTTGCTCTTCGCCCTTCTACTCCTTCCTCCTAGCCCTCCTCCTTCCTCCTCGCTCTCCTCCTCCTTCCTCTTCGCCCTCCTACTCCTCCTTCCTCCTCATTCCTCCTCGTCCTCCTCCTCATTCCTCCTTGCTCTCCTCCTCCTCATTCCTTGACGCCCTCCTGCTCCTCGCTCTCCTCCGTGCCCTCCTTCTTCCTCAACCTCCACCTCCCTCCTCGCCCTCTTCCTTCTTCCTCGCCTTCCTCCTTCCCCCTCCTTCCTTCTCGTCCTCCTCCTCCTTCCTTCTCGCCCTCCTCCTCCTTCCTCCTCCTCCTTCCTCCTCCTTCCTTCTCGCCCTCCTCCTCTTTTCTCCTCCTCCTTCCTTCTCGCCCTCCTCCTTATTCCTCTTCTGCCTCCTCCCTCTCCCTCCTCGCCCTACTCTTCCTCCTTCCTCCTCGCCCTCCTCCTTTTTCCTCCTTGCCCTTCTAGCTCCTCCTTCCTCCTCGCCCTCCTCCTCCTTCCTCCTCGCCCTCCTCCTCCTTCCTCCTCGCCCTCCTCCTCCTTCCTCCTGGCCCTCCTCCTCCTTCCTCCTCGCCCTACTCCTCCTTCCTTCTCGCCCTCCTCCTCCTTCCTTCTCGCCCTCCTCCTTCCTTCTCGCCCTCCTCCTCCTTCTTTCTCGCCCTCCTCTTACTTCCTTCTCGCCCTCCTCTTCCTTCCGTCTCGCCCTCCTTCCTTCTCGCTCTCCTCCTTCCTCCTCGCCCTCCTCCTCCTTCCTCCTCGCCCTCCTCCTCCTTCCTTCTCGCCCTCCTCCTTACTCCTCTTCCGCCTTCTCCCTCTCCCTCCTCGCTCTCCTCCTCCTCCTTCCTCTTCGTCTTCCTCCTTCCTCCTCGCCCTCCTCCTCCCCCTTTCTTCTTGCTCTCCTCCTCCATCCTCCTCGCCCTGCTTCTTCCTAACTCTCCTCCTTCCTCCTCGCCCTCCTCCTTCCTCCTTGCCCTCCTCCTTCCTGCTCCTTTATTCTCGCCCTCCTCCTTCGTTCTCGCCGTCATCCTCCTTCCTTCTCACCCTCCTCCTCCTTCCTTCTCGCTCTCCTCCCTCCTCCTCACCCTCCTCCTTCTCCTTCCTCCTCGCCCTCCTCGTCCTTCTTTCTCGCCTTCCTCCTCCTTCCTCCTCGCTCTCCTCCTCCTTCCTCCCTCCTCGCCCTCATCCTTCCTCCTCGCCTTCCTCCTCCTCCTTCCTCCTTGCCCTCCTTCTTTCTCCACCTTCCTCCTCGGCCTAGCTCCTCCTACCTCCTCGCCCTTCCTCCTCGCCCTCCTCCTTATTCCTCCTTGCCCTCCTCCCTCCTCGCTCTCCTCCTCCTCGCCCTCCTCCTCCTTCCTCCTTACCCTCCTCCTTCCTCTTCCCTCCTCCTCGCGCTCCTCCTCCTTCTTCCTCGACCTCCTCCTTTCTCCTCGACCTCATCCTCTTATCTGGAATTCAGGAGGAAGAAGGAATTCTTCCTCCTTGCTCTCCTCCTCCTCCTCCTTCCTCCTCGCCCATCTCCTTTCTCCTCGACCTCCTATTCCTTCCTTCTCGTCCTCCTCCTCCTCGCTCTTCTCCTTCTTCCTCGCCCTCTTCCTCCTCCTCCTTCTTCCTCCTTGCTCTCCTGCTTTTCCTTCCTCCTCGCCCACCTCCTCCTCCTTCCTCCTTGCCCTCCTTCTTCCTCCTTCCTCCTCGCCCTCCTCCTCCTCGCTCTCCTCCTCCTCCTTGCCCTCCTTGTTCCTCCACCTCCTTTTTCCTCTCTCTCCTCCTCGAAATATTATTCCTTCCTTCTCGCCCTCCTCCTCGCTCTCCTCCTCTTTCCTCCTCGCTCTCCTCCTCCTTCCTCCTCGTCTTCCTCCTTGCCCTCCTCCTTCCTCCTCGCCCTCCCCCTCCTTCCTCCTCGCCCTCCTCCTCACCCTCCCCCTCCTTCCTCCTCGGTCTCCTCCTTCCTACTCGCCCTCCTCCTCCTTCCTCCTCGCCCTCCTCGCCCTACTCCTCCTTCCTCCTCTTCCTCCCTCTTCGCCCTCCTCCTCCTCCTTCCTCCTGGCTCTCCTTCTTCCTCCTCGCTCTCTACTTACTGTGAGAGTGGACTCCCCCGATTTGGTCTGGTCCATGCTCCGCCTTGCCCGGCGGTCCTCACTCACTCTGGGAGGGTCCTCCGCCGCCAGGAGCTGCGCTCCCTCAGTCACCTGCCAGCGCTCAGAGGGGACAGCGGCTACCACCCTGCGGCGGTTGGCTGGCTCACAGCGGTGGTAGGTGGCGGTAGATGGTATAAGGGGCGGCGCACTAGGTGGCGGGTGGTAGACTTAAGCGGAGACCTCCCCCACCCCTCCCGAGCAAGCTTAGCGCTCCCAACACTTTGGCACCAAAAATCACTGACTCGAGATTTTCCACGAATTTCTATGAGAAAACTGCCCCTGAACACTTGACACGAATTTCCCCATACCCATCGACTGCTACAGAGCACTAGCAGGAATTTGAACGTCTATAATTACTGGCATGGGGACCCATGAGTCTGTTACTGCTCGTATGCAAATTACCCACGTCAAGATCTTTAGATCTCTACCTACTGTACACAATGTCTTTCTTCCCTTCGAGCGACGATTTCGGCCGGATTCTGCTGCGACCACCGTCGTAAATGAAGCAGGAGGTGAAGCAGTTCAGTCAAGCCACCACGATGCCCTATACTCAATTTGGCCGAATGAGTACAGGGAGCGTGAGGACACGGTGGCGCCTGAGTTCAGAATAACGTCTCGAGGGAAGGACACCGGCGATTCCCGCGTCCTCCTCGAAATAACCAATGAGAGGGAGGCATTCAGCGGCCTACCCCTCTTAACCAATCAGCGACGGTGTAGCATGGCCTCTAGGGCAACTTCAAGATGGCCGACTAACATGGCGGCTCTAGATGTTTACTAAGATAGTGGCTGTTGCATGACGACGAGTCAAGTGGCTGGCGCGGTAGGCCCACAGCTCGCGCCACCCTGTCCCAGGCCTCCCAAGATTCCCGCACAAATCTTGAGTCCCTAGCTCCAAGCCATACAATAGAATGATGCTATCAGCTCTATCTCGGTCCACAGTCGTGCTACCCCGGCCAGGGTAACATTTCTGGAATGCTGATGACTGGGGGTCTCACATGTGCCCAAACACTAGATGTTTCGGTTGCTGGTTACCAAACTCCAGTTCGCGCACTTAACAAGTGCACTTAATGAGTGTACTGGCCTCCACAGGCATAAGAGCACTATTGTAAGTGAGCTGGTGAACCATCCCCTCACACATATAGTATACTAAAAATGTTAGAATTTCTTTCTAACTGGACGATCTATTTCTTCAAGTTCTGTCATATTTTATTTTTCTAATTTCTAATAAGAACTAATTAAGTCAAACTCAAGAACATGCCACTAACATTGGAGACACAGAGATCTCTTAATAAACAGTTGAGACATGATATTAATTTAATTATAATCGAGACCCTTGATTCGTTGTGCAGACAAATTTATTGAGTTGGCATAAAAAGGTGTCCCCCATTTATAATGGACATATTCCAGGAATGCGAGGAGCATAGCGCCTAGATTTTTATTATGAGTATTAGGGGGAAATGCAACTAGAATATTGTATGTGGTATAGTCAGTGTCAACACCTGGATTATCGCCAACTGGCACCAAGATCGTACAATTCCAAAATTGTAGTCAAGGCATTAGCGTGGTGGATTTAATTAGGTATGAGCCAACATGATTGTGGAGTTAAGCTTCTTTGAAGATTAACTTTTTAACTTCCCCAAGGACGCAACGTTAACTAATAAATCTGTGGCAATATATAAAATGTTCTGTGTGACTTTGTTTGGGATAAATAAAGTGCTTGTGTGCTGAATAGACGGCTCATCAGTTTGGATAAAATGTAATTTTAAAGAGCGGTATACTGCATTATAGAGATTTTGAAAACAAAACGGGCAACAGTATTGTTGTAGAGTATGGGCAGCATACAATGCATCATTGATCTCGGCCTGTGTTAGTTTGATGCGATAATCTATTACTTTTCAGGTTTAGTCCTAGCTGTTCTTACGTTCTCTAGAATACCTTGTCAAGAGTATATTAGTAGTTCTCGTGAAAATGTAAGTGGAGTATACCACTAGTTTACCATCCTCCTTAGGCCCTACTAGCACCTAACCTATTTTGATGTTAATGGTAAAGGAGATAATGTGGGAAGTAAACTACCTAAGATGATGTCATTAGTAGGAGAGTTGATTTTAGTCATAAACCAGCTAAGATGGTGTTAATTGTAAGACTTGATGTGAGAGGTGTTCCAGATGAGATAATGATAGAAGTAAATAAGTTGATGTGAGCGATGAACCAGTTGAGACGGTGTTAGTGGTAGAAGAGTTAATGGTATGTAAATAGCTAAGGTTTACTAGTACGAGTACTGACTCACAGTGTGGTGTAGAGAACAGCGCCCTCAGCCCACAAACTCCGTAAGAGAGAATATGGCCTAAATTTTATTTCTGGCAAATAGAAAAGACGTGGCAGGGATACTTAACTGTCTCACCGTTCACCCAGGCGCAGTTGGGTACATGGTCGAAAAGCTATTTTTTAATTATGATCCAGGGAAAACAAATTGAGGTAAACCATAAGATAAACAATGTAAATGACGTTTTCTTAGCTCGCAAACAAGAGTAATAAATCGCCTGATAATATACCTTTAGGTTAAACAAATTAAATAATATATAATTAAGTTTTATCGTTGTTTCTTCGACTTTCAGAAGAGTGTCATCATTGCCACCAAGCAGGGATTCAAAATGACTTCTGTAATAATGACCAACCCACGCGTGGAGAAAATGTTTCTTTGTTTAGGTTACAAGGTCCACACCACATTTGACTTCTGCACCCTGGAAGAAGGTCTGCTCGACCTGTCCCGCATGGATCACAAGCAGTTCAAAATAATGACTAAATACCTGTCACCAAAATCACAGTTATAATCAGGAAACCACAAGCAATGAGAGCTTTTTCTAAGACTTTTACTTAATTTTTTGTAATGTTTACATTACATGTCAGTCAAATTTTGTTTGAATACAACTCTAAACACACATTAGAACACACACATAAACACATATTCATGTAATATACATATACATACAAGCAAGCACATACACACATAGGAAGAAATGGCTAAACTTTCCATCACCTGATGCACTAGTTCACTAAGCAGTAAGTAGGTCCCTTTAAGTTAGACAGCTGCAATAGACTGCATCCTAGGAATGTGTGTGTGGGTTTGTACTCCCCTAGTTGTGCTTGGGGGTTAAACTTTGGCTCTTTCGAGTAGTGTAAAAGGAGACATATGTTGGGAAATCTACCAGTGATTGTTTTGATTATTAATTCAATAGATTGTATTTAATTATATTTATTACTTGTGAATGGACTGCGTTTTTATGATTTTTGTATCACCGGTAAAATTACCTTCATATATTTTTGGGAGGGGTTTTTAATTCAATTTATCACACCCTAATGAAACAGTTGATATAAATTATCTGCTAAACTGTAATTAAATAGTTAGTAGTATTTCTGCAACTGTGTTAGTTATAATTTAAACTGTCTCAGGTGGTCATCCAACATCAGATTCCCTTGGGCACATGTACTCCGTACTGGACAGGTATTAATGGCGTCTGGGTGGTCTTGGGATGTACCAGCTCAATGTTGTTTTATGCGTGTTGACAAATTACCTGTAGAGATGTTACATAGTAACATATGTATAACTAAAGATAAAATTCATTTATAAATATTAAACCATCACGATTAACATATTAGTTAATCATGATGGTTTACTCATGCTGGATGTGTTTCCCTGCTGCTTGATGATAAATTCCTACACTAATAAATGGTCCAAAAATATATGTAATAAAATAAATCGAAAGTTGTACTTTCCATGGGTTTCAAGTTTTGGCAACAATTAGTGATTAATGTGAGTCACTCTACATTCTGGACTTGCTGGAGTAATTTTCTGTGTTGAGGGAGGCACGCTCTGTTACAGCTCAAGTTTCACCAACAAAAACTAAGATGGCTTTTCCCTCCTCCCTACTCACTCTGGATGTGTCCATGAACAGTTTATTTTTTATTTTGGAGAATTGGTTTATTTAGCATATTTTATTACTTATTATTATGGAATGTATGATTAAATGAGATAGTTTGTTAATTGTGTTACCAGTTCTGAGACTGGAGAATTTTACAATAAATTAGCTAGAAACTTTTTTGTTGTTTATTTCAGGGCTAAATAAAGTATTTATTAACTACTCGAACTAATGCAAATTAACAGCATTTTATGACTGTTACATTATAATGTTATATTTGATGTGGGAATTTCCAATGTAATTCTGGGGGGTGGGGGGTGGAACATGGGTCGGAGTCCATAGTTTAGGACTGGCGAACACTTCAATGCTCCCATTCTGAATTATTGTAATTATGTTTAAGTTTCATTTAGGACTGTTGTGCAACAGTTCGTTCATGACGGATGTCCTGTACTGGAGCTGCAGGGATGGGAAGTCTCTGGGCGACTTCATTTCTTGCTAGCTCCAAAAGAACTATTTTTTTATAGTGTCTTGAGACTAGTGGTGCCTCTGCACTTTATTTGCACTATTCTCAAGACATCTTGGCTGTCTGGATAGACAGAGACTATATGGCCTAGAGGCCAATCTGAGCATGGTCAGGTATTGTCCACCTTAACAACATTGTCAGGATGAAGTTGTATTTTATTATTGGGGTTGTGTGCCTCATATTGATACTCCCTCGGAACAGTTAGGTACTCTCGGGTCCAAACTTCAATCCACCGACTAATTACTCTGGACTGATGTTTGCAACACTAAACCAGGACGTTCTCTCTGACATATGAAGGATCTCTTAGTCCCTCGTCAGTGAGGAACGCTAGAGGAGCTAGAGATCCTCCATACATCAGATGAGACAGACTTATATCTCAGGTTGTGAGATATCGTCAAAGAGGTAGGTCAGTGGTCGGTTATTGACCAGAGATTCAATTTCCGTGACAACAGTTTGGAGCTACTGAAAATCGATCTATTGGCGATGTAGGGTTTTCCTATAACTGCGTGTTATTGTCACCACCTTCTGCTCAGAGAACCCTTTGTGCCACGGTGCTCTGAGGGGGGGGGGGATTGGTATAAATTTCCACTGGCTCTGTCGTTGATTCAGGGCAGTGCGTACCACTGACTGGTTCCAGACCTCTCTCAGGCATACTTCCCATGCCAACAACTTTGATCCATTGTCAGAGATCATCAACGTGGAGCAGGATCGACTGGCAGCAAGTCTGCAAAAAACCTATATGAATGTCTCTGCACACCAGTAAAATAATAATATAAGAAATGAATTATTTCTATATCATACATCTGTATTCTACATCAGAATCCTATCAGAATCATACATCTATTGAATCCTTCCTATATTAGAATCATACATCTGGATCCTAAATGACATCACCACAATCGCCACGTCTGCCATTAGACCTATGGATGCCTGCATGCCTTTACTTGTCTATCTTCAAGTATCTAGGAGGTTTGACAAGAAGCTGTCTTAATTAAAATACCACTGGAACATAATTCTGAAACAGTGACATACTTTATTTTTAAGTCCTAAATAAATAATTAATTTGTACTGTAAGTACCACCTATAATCATTAAATCCAATAAAAAATTATTTTACAATCTCATTTTTATCTATGTAATCTGTCTAGACAATAAAAATAATGAATATGTATTCATTGAAGGCCACCCTCACTGAGAGAGTGATAGCCGCCGTCCAGGGCGAGAACACATGATTTACACACACAGTGATCACGAGATGATGCTTGAGACTTTCAACAGGACCAGAGTTAGTTAGTTAGTTAGTTTAGTTCATTTATTATGCACCCCATACCCATCTTGTGGGCGGTAGTGGAAAGGGTTACAGAGGCACATAATGGGCTCAGGGACTGAACCCCACAATTCATTTAGCTAAGCAAGTTACAATCTTGATGAGCTAGTTACAAAATTCGATATAAGTCGTCACATCAACAATGGGTTCGAGATCGACCTCAAGTACAGGTTCTAAATTAAGCAACTGACATATGTGGAGAGCTAGTGTCAAAATTTATATGTTTGTCCTGCACACCGCCCCCCATCCAGTGGGCAGCGGTGGATAGGTTACAATCACTTAGTTACTACCTACAGTTAGCAAACTGGGGATATTTGGCTAAAATTTCTGGTAGCAGATCATTTTGAATGAAATATTGACACATCGCTGGAACATTGGTTATAGAATTGTCTCTAAATTCACGTATCTTTTCGCACTCCATCACATAGTGACGGAGGGTGTGCGAATAATTTTGTTGACACAGTTTACATTTGGTCAGGTCTACATCAGCAGATAATGAGAATTCCCAGAGATACTTGTAACCGAGTCTAAGCCGAGCAGTAGTAACATCTAGAAGTCTGCTGATTTTATTGGATGATCCATAGATGTGTGGCTCCTCTTGCATGATAGTATGATGATAGATGGAATTACTGGTGTCAATTTCACTTTGCCTCAGATCTACAAGATCTTGTTGCAGTTCTCGGTGTACTGCTGCTCTCAGATGACAATCCAAGGTTACACTCAACGGCTCCTTTAAAGGCAGATTCTTTGGCTAACTTATCAGCTCTATCATGCATTCGGAGGCCAACATGAGATGGAGACCACATGAAATGGACTCTGTTACCATCCTTAATAATTTTGTTGTATTTGTGTCTAGCTTCGGACACGAGCATGTTACAGTTATGTCTTAAAGAGTTGAGAGCATTTAAGGATGATAAGGAGTCACTTACAATTAATGTATCAAGTTTTGAGACTTGTACACATTTCAGTGCAAGGATCAAGGCAAATAGTTCAGTCTGAAGGGTAGAGGCCCAGTTGTTTATACGGACTCCCCACTGAAAGTATTGGCCATCGCCCATTGTCAGGACAACTGCACTTCCAGCTGCACCCGTGGTGCGGTGTAGGGAACCATCAGTGTATATAATTTGAGAGAGAGAATGCTCTGTGGACAGAGCATCAATATGGCTTAAGGCGTTGAGCTTTGCCTCAAGACGAAGCTTGGGCTGATCTCTAATTTGCTTCTTGGGTGGAAAGGGAGGGATTAAAACTGGAAAGGGTGTAACCTCCCACGGTGCAGGAAAGTGCCGTTGTTGTTTCTCTTGGTACAAATCATGAACCCCATACATTCTGAGTTGAGTTCCAGTTTTTGTTATCCATTTGGAACAATGCTGATCTTCAATAAAGAAATTCTGGAGGGCTTCTGTGCAAGGATTAGGATGAGTTAGCCTAAGCATTTTCATACCAATTTGACAGTTAATTTCAGTACCACGATCAACAACGCTCAGAATATTAAGTTCCTTTCTCATATTAAGTATCTTTGTGGTACGAGGGCACCCAAGGATTATCCTCAAGGCTTCGTTCTGCAATTTTTCAAGCCCTCCAAACTTTCTTTCAGGCATCAAAACAAGCAGAGGTGCAGCATAATCCACTAAAGATCTGATGTATGCAAAGTACATCATTTGACAATTCTGACATTGGCACCATAGCCTGAGTGATAACCTGCAACAGCCTTGAGAGCTCGGAGCCTCTCTTTAAACTGACGACAGAGTCTGAATGCAACAGGACCATACAGTGGCACCTCAAGGCCAAGGTATTTGAATCTGTTTACATAGTCAAGCTGGGAGCCATCAGACAGTTGCATCTTGCGAACAGCTCCTCCCTGCCTGGGTGGGCGCCGATTTAGTATCTTTGTTTTCTCACCTGAGATAATTAAACCTAGGTCCTGACATGAGTCTAATATAGAGTTAAGAGTGTTCTGCGCGTTAGCATACCCAGTGGTGTGTATCATTATATCATCAGCATAGCTAATGATGTGGACGTTGGGTTTGCTCGGTATAGAGTTTAACAGCGTGTTTATTAAGATATTAAATAAGGTAGGACTGAGGACACCACCCTGCGGGGTACCTAGTTCAAAGTCTCTTGTTACACTCCTATGCCCCTGGAAAAATACAGATGACTTCCTGTTGGATAAGTAACCCTTGATCCAACAAAGGAGCCGACCACCAATATTCATTCTTGCAAGCTCACTCAAGATAACATGTCTATTTGCACTATCAAAGGCAGACTTAAGATCTAGGAAGGTGGTATATGACTTTTCAGTGTGCAGGGTAAGAAAGGTGGTGATGCAATGATGCACACTCCTTCCATGCATGAAGCCATATATCTGGGGGGATAGCATGGTTCTTATTCTATGGAGGAGACGGTTTAGGACCATTCTCTCGAATGTTTTGCAAATGCAGCTAGTAAGGGAAATTGGGCGGAAAGCATTCTCTTGATTTGGCTTGGGAATTGGAATGATTATACTGTTGGTCCAAGAGTTAGGAAGCTCCCCAGTAACATAGCTCATATTATACAGCTCAAGCAGGGGATTCCCTGGTCGAGAGAATGGTCCTAAACCGTCTCCTCCATAGAATAAGAACCATGCTATCCCCCCAGATATATGGCTTCATGCATGGAAGGAGTGTGCATCATTGCATCACCACCTTTCTTACCCTGCACACTGAAAAGTCATATACCACCTTCCTAGATCTTACCGCACAAACTAATTTTAATTCTCAGTGATAAGTTACTAAAATAGCTCTCTAAGATACTCAGGGAGGTGTTGAACTATAAATCAGAACAAATTATTTTTGCAATTATCTAAATACGAGTGACGAGTAGTACACCCACAGCACATGTGTTCGCTCTCCACTACCAGTTATTTCTTAATCCTAACAAGCGCTACAAGTGAATCTATTTTACAGCAAAGCTGCTATCTTATTATCAAAATACTGTGCCTCATATCATCAAGAGAAATCATAAATCTGGCAAACGGTTAGATGGGCATCGGTTTTAAATTTGGATAAGTTATTATGTGTTTGCAGGGTGTAAATTGGCCAATTGTATGCTTTATGACCTTAACTTGTTCATATAAATTGTTAATCGTTATTTATGGGGAAACTCCCCACAATCAAGTGAGCATTTATCTTGGTCTTTACAATTTAATCTGAATATATGTATAAACATATGCATATATAATTAATCTGTATAAATCATCACGATATCAATTGCTATCACAGTAATCATTAATTTTTCATATTTGCTTACATATAATATCTTGCTTGTATCATATACCTAGTTGTTGCTATAATT